GATTCAGACAGAAGTTCCACTGGAATCTCCCGTTCTGGCACTGCTGCAGCACGTCTGTAATGCCATCTGCTTCAAACGGGCCGATAAAGCACTCGAACCCGCGATCCGGAGACTCTTCAACGGGGCAGACACGCTGGTCGGTCTGAAAGCCGGTGAATTGGTTGACGATGTATTCCTGCAAGGTCACTACATGTATGCTGCTAGATGTCATGGGGTGTGGTGTGAAAGCCACAGACGCCCCCAGATTCCCTATAGATCAGCAGGTCCTCGCTGATGGTGTTGCAATTGCTTTGATAGCACTCGTTCGTGAGACGGCCAGTGGGCGGAGTCCTCCAATGGAAAACACGGGTTCCCTCTGCTCACAGTGTGGGCGTTGGGCCCGTGGGCCATCCCTTGCCTGGGGATGATGGGATCGTAGGCGGAGCTTGCATCCAGCAGTAGGGGCGTTTGCTGGATTCGATCCAAGATCGTCCGCAACTTGCCTCGCAGTGCATCTGAAACTGGCGGCTCTAGGCCTCCGAGCGTGAGAACACAGGCCTGTACAGTTCGTGGATGTGCCGAAGGCCAGGCAATCCTTCCCCCAATAGTTCAAGCCATTGACCTCCCAGTGTCACAAGCGCAGAATATTTCCAGACCACTAGCATGCATCAGACTGGGTTGGAGATGGCGCCAGCCTCTGCAACACAGCACGTAATGAAGGTGCAATCCTCCTTGATTCCGGACGGGCAGTAGTCGTCATAGCTCTCTATGCAGATATCTCCTTGCAGGCTCGACCCGGAGGAACAGAACTCCACGAGCGAAGGCTCACGCCGAGACTCCTCCTGAATTCGTTGAAGTGCAAGTTGAGCAATCCTTTCGCCTGCTTAAGACTCGAAACACCCAACGCAACTGCATTCACGTGCTGATGATGATGCTGCCGGCGATGTCGGTGACGACACCATGACAACGTTGACGGCGGTGATGGTGGTGCTGGTGTTCGTTGCGGTCGCGGTCGGTGTCGCGTTTAGCAGTGAGGCGTTCTAAACCCCCTCCTGTGAGAGTTTATGTAAACGCTAAGGTTACGCTAAGGTTGGTTGGTCCAGGTCAGCTGGGGTTCGGTGTGCGACAGTGGCGCGTCAGTGAACGCGTCGGCGAATACTGGGCACCCGATTCCTGCGAAGTCCCAGTCCGCTGCCGCAATTGCCAATGCTACTAGTCATATTATGCAGATCACTTGCCAAAGCTGCTAGTCATATTCAGATAGTTCATCAGAGACTATTGCCACATTGAAATTGAAGGCCTCGAACCGTTTCCCGACCACGTGCCTGAAGTTGCCGGCTGAGCACGACTGCAAGCACGTGATGCTGGGGCGTGGTGTGGTTTGCAACTCAACCGGGTACGTTGGTGCGCAGTCGAAGTTGTCGAACTTGTAATGCTCACCTGAGGTTGCGAACCCTTTGGAAGGCTTGACGCGACAAATGCCTAACCGGCGCCATCCACCCTAGACTTGGAACAAGGCAGCGTTGCTCAAGGCACACAACAAGCTGTCTCCAGCTCGAGGCACCCAGCCTCTTTGCAAACAGAACCGATCACAACACTCAATACGGGCAACATCTGCAAAATCCAGTCCCAACATGCATGAAACAGATTAACGGTTCCTGTTTTGGTGAACCTATGAGTTTTCGTCCTCCGTGGCCAACCCTAGTAGGACCCCAACACGGTGCTTACAGCTCCCTGGCACCCCCAACTCCCGGTGAAAACATGGCATGCACGAACACTGACCAGCCCTGCAACAAAAAGAAGAACCACTGGCCCTGAAAACACAGAAGGCCCGTTCTTGCTAGTACGGACGAGGCTTAACTTGTTGCTAAGCCTCCCTTTCTACACGTCCAAGATGCATGCCAGGTTGTAAGAACCAGCCTCACCGTTGTCGCAAACCCTGTCCCCGACGACGGCCTCTGAGCCGGAGAAGCACCGGCCCTGACCACGGAAAGGCACGGTTGTGGTGTCTGTGCATCTCAGGCCCTGCATCATATAAGTTTGTCTGCATGCCAAAAAGAGACACACGAAACCCATAGCGACAGAGCGAGAGAGAGAGAGAGAGAGAGATGGAAAGCGAGTTAAGAGCAATTTGGAGAAGAGCGAGAACAGAGAGAGAGAGAGAGAGAGAGAGAGAGAGAGGGAGGGGGGGGGGAAGTCGTAGCTGGATCTTGCGTAGCCTGGCAGTCACGCGAGACGGACATGCCATTGCCCCAGCTGAAACGCCTCACAGGGATTCTGAACATTCAGGCCAGACAACACTTAAGCACCTTCGTGTTTATTAAGCGCATGTCGTGTCTCAAGATTCTGCCAAACTCCCAGGTTCCGCCTCAGCTCACAGTCGAACTCGCTCTGTGTGACTCGGCCCGCCCTGTCCCGCGCTACCGAGAGGAAGTAGCCACCCGTGTCAAAGCCCGAGTACAGCACCTACGCGTTTGGGAGTTTGAACCCCAACGACCCCGAAGAAGTAGAAGGCTGCTTACTCGTTTGGTCCAAGTGCCTGGATGCCCGGGGGCCGTTCAACGGACACGACCGGACTGGCATCCGGCTTCCAGAAGAACTCGATCCGGACAGGGTGCAAGCCAGGCAGCATGAAGAGCCGGAAGTCCTGCGTGGAGGCCCCTTCCTGCAGGCCATCGTTCGTGACAACCACGGACTCTCCGCCAATGCCCCGACCACCCATGGTCAGGCGGCCGCCATCATCCGATCGGATTCGGAAAATATACTCGCCACCATTTGCAATGAGGAAATAGCCATGCCACCGGATGTACAGCGGTCGGGCCAGCATCTCGACCTCGTCACTCAAGTCCCCTTCACCAGGACCCGTGTTCTGGAAGTTATCGTCCATGCGGTAGAGCAGTCTGGCGTTGGGGTAAGCTGCACCCAAATTAGCGGCAGGTGGCAGCATTGTCGGGTCATCCTCCGAGACATCGAAAACTTCTTTCATGAATCCAATGTATCTTGGGAAGCCCAACTTCTGCCTTGGCACGACGATCATGTTCTCTTGGGTATCTGGTCCGGAGTATCTGAAGAGCAGCTTGGCATCTCCGCCACGTTGAAAATACTCGATGCGAAGTGGGTGTAGGCCAGCTTCTAGCCATCGTTTGCTGCTCCGTGTCACAGGTCCGCTGTTGCAGGTGCCAGAAAGCCCCCCATCGCCCTCAAGCTGCCAGAGGCTAAAGGGCTCACAGCCCCAGTCTGTGACAAAGCAATCCACATAGATTCCTTGAGCGCACTCCCCACATTGGTTGCCGTAGGATCCATCATCAACCCGATTTTTCCTCATGTTTTGCATCGCCCAGTTCTGAACATCGTACCTGTGTCCAGGCAGGCTTGAGATCGAGCAGAACATGTAGAAAAGCGAGGCAACAGGCATCTACCTGTATAGATAGATGGATGGATAGACAGGCAGATAGATTTAAATATCCATCTTTGTATACAAACACATGTCCATCACACACACACACACACATGCATCACGATGTGTTCGACTGACTATCTACCAGTTATATGTCTACCTGCCGGCCTGCTTGTCTAAGTCTATCTGATTATCTATCTGTTCATCCATCTGTCAGGCTTACTGTCTGTCTACATGCGCAGGTATGGGCATGGGTGTGCGTGGATGTACATACATACATACATATAGATATATATATATATATATGTAGATATATTATTTGCATACACATATACACATCAAACATAGAGTATACGATGCTTATCTCAAAGTATGGAGAACATAACATGGGCTTCCTAGTATGCACACACAATTTCAGCCTCAGGTCGAAACCTACCGTGCTACACTGCCTCGTGGCACAACCTTGACCAGGGCAGGAATCATGACCGAGAACCATCCGAAAGCCATCGTCCGCTTCAATCTCAAAGGTGTAAAATCCTCCGGCAGGCATGTCGGTATTTCGCTTCTTCGAGATGATGCACATGGGACATAAGCTGTTGCACTTGCTGCTTCAACGAGCCTCGCAGAAAGACGTATAAATAGCCACTGTAACGTGCGGCAAAATTCTTTCGCAGTTCTTCCTGACCGCGGCAGGAGAACACCAGGTCCTCTTGCATCTCCTCGCTCGAGGGGACCACTCATGAAACACTGACTTGAGAAGCCTTGCGGCTACTCTGATGTCCTCCTCCCACGCGCATCTGTCTAACTCGAAACGATCTCGATTGTCGAAATCCAGCCTCGGCTGCAGACTCAAAGGCTCAATGAAATCTACTTAGCTTCCAAAGCACAGCCAAGATTCCTCAGCACTCTCCGTGCAATATTCGGCAGCCGGCTGGCCAACACCTGCCATGGCCAATGGCTCTCATACCCTTCCCTTCTTTACGGCTTGCGGTTCAGGGTTTAGGGTTTAGGGCTTGCAGGCAGCAAGACCGCGGTGCACCACGGTGCTGGTGCCTGAGTGGAACCATTGGCTGAGTCACAGAGCTCTGTCGGAGTCGTGGGTGCGAAATATTCGGCAAGCAAGCCCGTGTTCTCGTACAGGTCCTCGAACTGACGTTGCCGCACAAGCTTGCACAGGAAAAGCTGCTACTTGCAATTGATACGGGTGAACACCCTGCTGACCACCTCAGCAAGACTCTGAAACCCACTCTTACAGACTCCGGGGTCAAAAGTCTGTCCTGGCCCAAAGTAAGTGGCAGCGCCGCCACAACAAACCGCAAGGTTAAGATCATTCCTGCATGAAATGAAGGCCTTCAGCCCATGGCATCGGACCGGAAGCGAATTTGCATTGCGAATGCAGGTCCCGGCATGTCCAGTTTACGAAGGACCCCCTGAAGATCCTTAAGCAACACTCGGCGACCACCTCTCTAACAAGAGTCCATGTGAGCGACTAACTCTTTTCATGGCTCATGTTTGCCTACCCTCACTGATGCAACGGCCGCAGCAGATGGAATAGCAAGATCAGGCACACAGAAACATCGCTGGCCTGGTTTCGAAGAGCCAAACCCAAGGACTGCAGCGAGGCCTCGAAGCTCCAGCCTGCCACGAGCTCGCTGGTGGCCGAGGGCGCCGGGGAAGCCTCGTCCAAGACATGTGGGTAAAGTCTGGCTCAGACCGTGAGCCTGGCGACGCCTTGGGTACTTCGTCCGGCAGTTGTGCTAGTGCTGGCACCTCGTTGAGCTGCATGTCTGCACTCTCCAGTCTCGAGGAACTTAAAACGATTGCAGCCACGAGGCCGTCGCTGCCGAAGCTGCGACGTCCTGGTCCGTTCGGTGTCCGTCGGCATCAGGAACAGGTGGCTCCGTCGCTCGGCTGCTTTGCGCCTGTGCTGCGCCCCGGTGGCTGCGCGCGATGGACCTTAAGGACCGCGAAGCCCCTCCTGGGCCTTGTCGGGCACCTGCTCCTCGGGCTCGTCCTCATCCTGCCAGAACTCCGGCATCAACACAAGTCGTGCAGAGCCGGTGATTTTGGCCACTCCTCGCCGAGCAAGGATGTGATGGCACCAAACTGCGCCTAACAGATTCGAGCTCAGCAGCTTCTTCATGCGGTATGTCCCTACGAGTTGCAAGGTCGGAAAATGCGAGACGACACCCAAGGAAGCTCACTAGCCGCCTTCGCTACGCTTGTCGAGCTGGAGGCCACCGAACCTGCGACTGGCACACAGCCAACTGAAGACCCACAAGAAGAAAACCAGCGGTGCACGTGGACAGTCACGACAGTCACGAGCCAAAAGTCTTCGTCCTTTCAGCACCGCAGACTGCCTGCAGCGAGGGATGCCGAGGTGAGCAGCCCGCCGAGCGAGTTGGCCAGCGTGCCCTGGCCCTGGCCCCCCTGGGCGTAGAAGCGATCTCAACGGTACCTAATGCAAGCTGCGTTCCTCACCTCGGATTTGGGCTCAGTCGAATCGCCTTCCTGGCAGAGCGGATCCCACAACTCAGACGAGGCTTCTGCTGCCTCTGCCCTGAAACATGATGAAGGCTTCGAGTCGAAGCTCCAGGGCAGACACTTTCCGCATCTGAACGTGTACAGATCAACACAGCCGGGAGCCTTCTCGCCGGAACCGCCATCGATTTCGTCCAGCAGATTCCCAAGCTGCAATCAGACGAATACGCAAAGCATCACATCCAGAACCCCTACGGAGCTCCATGCACCACAGAGACTTATCCTGCACCCAATGCCATCACTCCCACGCATGAAGCTTCCAAGATCGACATGATGCACACTTTGGAACGGTCTTAGTCCCAGACGACTCTAGAATCTACCAAGTCATGGCACCACACTCCTGAACCCCACGGCAACGCCTTGCTCAGGTAGAACATCCCGAGGCGCTGAAGATCGCTGAAGCTTGATACGACAAACTGAGCTTGCTTAGCATGGGGTTGATGCGGTCTGGGCCCTAAGGCACGCGTCGTACGAAGAACTCGGACCCTTGTTGCTTGGTTGAGGCTTGTTCCGTGCCACGGCTACGCACATCGAGCCAAAGCAGGGTGCTAGCTGCAAGGGACTTTGAACTACAGCAGGAACAGCACGGCAAATCCGACCCCACATGTGGAAAAGCACACCCGACTCGGGTTACGCGAAGTTACACGTCGCCCGTGCCGCACCTAGGGCTGTCGAGGCCCTTCCATCTCGAAATATCTCGAACGTTGACTGCGATCCCTGAGGTGACCATGAGCCCTGACCTTGAAAACCGCCAGTGCGCCAAATTCGGTGCTGTGCCGAAGAGCTGAAGGGACCGCCACCGCATCGCGGCATCACTGCTGGCAACTCACCGCGAAGCAACTCACAGTTGCGTAATCGAGCATAGGCAACTACTACCAGTAGCACTTTGAAGGCCGACTCAAGGAATCTGATTCACAACGAAGTGGGCAGACAAACAGACATGCACTGCACCTTCAAGCCGATGTAGACAAAAAGCGAGGCCACTACGCTGTAGGATGCAAAAACTCCCCGACATGTCTCTTTTCGTCACTGTTGAACACAGCAGCTGCCCGCTGTGGGTGAGAGTCCGACACCACAGCGCTGTCGCAGGCCTGCATGCATGGCTCGCTCAGCAATATGACGAGTCGCTCGCTTTAGCTACAAGGAAAAGCCGAGCATTGGCACAATTACTCTAGATATCCTTACCATTGCTACAAGTAGTGTAGCACAATGTAGCACAGCCATGCATAGCAATAGCAAGCCCTTTGCACACTATGTCATACGATTGTTGTGCTATACCGTCCTATAGTATCCTATAGTGCATTATCGTATATCCCTCCTGCAGCTGCCTTTTTACTCCCGCATTCGTTCGGCTGCTTGGTTAGGCATGCCTCACGCGCTGTAAGATTCAGGATTTTACGCCAGTGCTATCGCTCTTGACTGGACGAATACTCTGCTGTCTCGACGCCCTGCAGCTGGCCTCTAACGCCTTGGACCAGTCTGCCGTGTCACCACAAGTAGACAGGTCGTGTATCCTTGGGGATGCAGGGCCCACTGCATGCAGTTTCACGGATCGAAGAGTCGCGGCCTCGCCGCCAAAGCTCGCTTCGCATGCGGCGGCAGAGCTGAAAGATTCTCAGCCAAAAGGATGGCCAGAGCCTGGCGAATCCCCGAGGCAGCATTCCCTATAGGCTCTATACCCCTACCCCTCCTCTTGCTTGCCGCTCCTCCGCACCGGCTGCTACGAGGGCAGGGCTGCACTCTGCCCGGCAGGCTCGAAGCAAGCAGAGGGCTGATCCTCGGCGCTCCACGACCGCCAGCAGTGGAGTTGCTACAAGCGGCGGCTGCGGTTGTATGTGCGGGAACAGCAGAGGGCCCAACGGTACCTGTCACCACCACTGCAGCCTTCCAAGTCTTCCGGCACACACCGCTGCAGGCGCCTTGCAACGGACCTCAGCAAGTTCCACTCAGCTGTCAGGCTGACACTGGGTCCGCATCCTCCCGTGCCGGTCGTCCCCTAGGTCCCCTTGCAGTGCCAAGTCAGAGACCTCCATTCGCACACATGTCCACGCACCGCATAACTTCTCTCGATGGCCTTCGACGGTCCCAGCAGGCGCTCCAGGGCAACGAAAAAGTTGAGCCTGGCACTGACACTTGTTTCACAGAAGCTCGTTCCCAAGAGGATGATATCTTCAACACCTGAGGCTTTGGCAGGCCTCGGGGCAAGAATCGCGTGGCGCCTGAGCAGCACATGGCCATCTGGGACAGCGGCTCAGGCGGATCAGGCGCGCACGGCTCGTTCCACGATCTAGAAGGACCGTGGCCTGACGCTCAAAGGGCAAAGCAAGAAAATCGGCAATGCAATGATGAGCACACACACACACACATACAATTCATCGTTGCTTGCTGTGCCTCAGCGCCTCACGGCCTCCAAGATTTGCTGGAGACCGGCAGGATCTTTGCAGCTCCTAGAAGCAGGTTGCTAGATGACCCCCTCACTTGTCCGCTCCGAGTCACGGATTTCCTGCGGAGACGAGCGCAAGAGTATGCCGAGATTTCCAAATGCATGGGCCCCATCCTGGCGTCAAAGGAGGCCAGGAGGGAAAAGCACTGACAAGACGCACTCATCCCATCTCATCCCCCTAGGCACCGCCCGCCTGCCAGCGTGCTGAGCCACTGCTGCGACAAGCAAACTGCTTGCAGAGCCTTGGGTGCTCTTGGTGCTCTTGTGCTGAAAAGTAAAGACGGCTTATCTGGGCGACGAACTCCAGGCAGGTTCTCCTTCCGCAAAGGACGTTGCACCTGCAAAGGACAACAAAGCTGCCATGTTCAACGGATCACGGACTGCACTTGGATTCGTGATTCGGGTGATGACCGAAACTCGTAAAGCTTTCACACATGACTCGGCCTTGGCAAAGCCTAAGTGCACTAACCAATCTTCCAGAGCACAGCTATGGTGACGATAGAGGAATGGGAAAGCAAAAAGGCAAACCTTCCTGTTGGCGGCCACATTAAGTGCCTGTGCGTTGTTCTCGCGTAGTGGTTCTGCAGGCTGTGCTGGGTCACCGATGCCAACCTTCCCTTTAGCTCAAAGACGTCCATGATGATTACATAGAAGCTTGGATCCGACGCGCCGATCGTAGTTCGCTGGCTTTCGCAGTGCCGTCCATGTCTAACGTTGGTTTCGTGGCTGTGATTCCCCTCTTCACTGCCTTCCTGCCGGTTTCGTGCGCAACCGTCTGTGTTGTTTGGCCCTGCAGCAAGATGGGCAAGCTGCAAGTGTCCGGACACCTGTCGGTGCTTTCCCAAACAGCACTCCAGGTCTCGCTTCCCAAGAAATCGCAAGATCCATCATGCACCCTGAGAAGGGGAGACTGGTCGAGGCAAAAAGACTTGCCTCGCACTCTGTGACAGGTTCTGCAAAGTCTTCAGAACCCTCTGCTTGTTACCGGCACAAGACACACGAGGCCCCGACCGACCAGATTGGCGAGCATCAAAGGCGAACTGAGCCCCCAGGCCTCTTTCGGAACGCTGCGAGAGTGGATCTGCGCTGTGCGAGATCCCCGAACGCCTCCTTGCTGTGCTCGAGGGCTCGGTCTTCGAACCTGACAAGGAATGAGCCCGCGCACAACCGGGGCGGGTCTTCACAATCTCTCACAGCGAACGGCACACCTTCGAAACACCGCCTGCACCTCCTGTCCAGAGAGGTCGCAAGATATGCAAGATATCAGCCATACTGACTCACATAAACGACATCTGCATTTTGCTTCGGTGGAAGCCTCCATAGCACTGCCAAACAATCCAAGAACTCTGTACAAACATTCATTACTTCACATGTGAGAGCTTCGCTTCAACATCTTAAAGGCCGCTGTCACACAAACCTTGGCTGAATCACACTGACAATAAGCTGGCACACCCAGCGCAGCGGAACATGCAGCAAACCCACTCTACTCCACTTAGAGTATTTCAGAGTATGCTCTGCAGCAAGGCCCTCCCACAACAGATTTCATCTGCGAGTTTATGCAACAAACTGAACGTGAACATCAAATCGGGATAATTCCGCCTCCTTGCCCAAAGCCTCACGCAGTGCAAGTAGAGCCGATGACAAGCACCTGGCAGCCCCAGTCCGAGTAGTGTGCAAGCCTGACCGTTCAAGCACGCTGAACTGAGGTCAGAACGTCAGATTGGAAGGCGTCTTTCCCACAGTCGACAAGTTGTGAACCTCCCGAGACGTGACACGCCCGGCCTATTTTTCTGGCCTACAGCGCACCAGCGATTGTAAGGTGTCGCCGTCTTTGTATTTGGCCCGAGCTAAGCACCGCCTCGGAGATGGCCGTAAGGATGTTACGAGCGCAAACAACCTTCCTCATCCCTCGAGGTTCGGGGCTCGGGCAGAAGCCGGATGCAGAGGTCAACATCCTGGGCGGTCTCTGTCTTCTCTGCGACATCTCGACGAGTCTCTTGCAGCTCAGGCGCCATCTGGGAACAAAGCTCCGCAAAGCGCGAAACAATCCCAGCCCACTCGCCTGCCAAAAGCCACAAGCCGCGATGATGTGCGAGAGGCCCCTCGGCGACACTGCGCGGCTGCGCCTTCTCCGCGACGGTCGGGCCTGACTCGGCTGCACACCCCGTGACGTGTCCTGTCATCTGCGCTGTGCCCCTCGGGACCTAAGTCTGGCGCCTGCGACCCTCCGCGTGAGCTCTGGCTCTGCGCTGAAGCAGTCGCTCGGCATGCCTAGCCAGCTCCAAGCCTCGAGAACGCAAGCCGCAAGCCCAAGGCCGGGACGGCAATCGAAGCTCTCTGCTCTGTCGCAGTCACTCAGAAACGAGCTGTTCAAGCCACTGACACTTCCGCTTTGCACCTCGTCGCAGGCAATATTGGTCAGGGCTCAGACGGGAGTGGGATGCTGTGGAGCTGGCAAAGGGGCTCCGCTCCAAGTCCGTCAATGGCCAATCCTTGCCTTAAGCAATCTCAAGACTTTCATGGGTGCTTCTCTGACTGTGCATGCACGCCAACGCGTCTAGGAATCTAGGAACTGAACATGTACTTCTCAGCTGCGTTGCGTTGGTTGATGGTCAGGGCCACGGGCGGAGGAACACGCAGCTCATGAAACATCCTCAGCATCCGAACGAGCCGCTGGCAAGACACGTGTGTCGATGAGCCAACCAGTACAGTTGTGCACATCGTCCTGTTCAGTCCCCACTATGTGACTCGACAATATTGATGGTGCACATATTACAGAGGCATTGACGTTCGGCATGACTTCGCAAACGACCGCAGCGCACACCCCGGTAGCCGCAAGGAAGGCGATGTCATCTTGCATGCATGCAAGACATGATGGCGCAAGCACTACCTTGTTGCTCAGTATGCCCAATGCTAGGCTTTGGTGGCTACTCTGCCGCATGACCAGACTCGCACTATAACAGCTGCCTTCTCGGTATGCCTAAATATGGTAGGCATCAGGAAGGCACCCAATTGGCCAGCACTACTCGGTTTTCGCATAACGGCCCAGTCTGAGAAAATTGAGGCCAACACCTGCACAGCATGCGTGAAGCTAGATTTACGTTCATGATCTACAGCATACACTAGGGCTGCAGTTGATCTCCAGCTGTTGTGCCACTAAGTGCTTGTCAGGCTACGAGTTTCGAGTGCTCCGAAGTTCGGCAGACGATGCATTGTCTGGAGCAGCAACACGGGAAGTAACAGCACGAAAAGGAATGCTCACCACATCTGTCCGTCGACTTGTTCCGAACGTGCCACCACCTTGAGAGTACAGTCAACCTGAAACTACAAGTTGTCACACAAGTTGGTGTCTGCGGGTGGACACACTGCGAGCTGCTAAATGATCCTCATGTGTGGAATGTGCCGTCGCTGCACACTCCGGCTGCTATCAGAAACTGCACCGCTGCCGGCTCTTTTGGCTCTTATCACAGAAACTTCGGCATTGCCACTGCGGCCCACCAGTACGGCAGTAGAGCCCTGTCAAGACGGCTCACGGATCGCCTCAACTCTTCGCCGCTCTTTAGCTCACCATCCCACGAGCAGATCCACACTGGGTCAACGAGCTTTCGGAAATGCTTGTAGCTGATGTGCTCCTTGGTTGCGGTGATCCGAACTCAACAGACACACGTCTTTTGACTCCGTGCGAAAGAAGCACAAAAGATAGGACCGAAGTCGGTCACCCAAGCGGATCCTAATTCGGAAAAGACTCGGAAATGAACTCCTCCACCTGATCCCGCTCCTCCCTGTCCCCGCACTGGTCGGATGGAACCATACGAATCAGAAGCAGCGCGCGGATTCTCTCCTCTAGTTGCCTAAACTGGCTCTCGACAAACAGGTTCTCTTCCCAGCGGCTAGCCGTGGACGTGGTCACATACACAACGGGGTCTCCAGTGGGAGCATCGGATTGTGAAATCTGCCACCTTTTCGGAAGAGCGGAGCTGTCACGAATAACCTCAAGCACCTGCTGGCGCGAGATGTCCGATGGAAGGTGGTCCCTTCGATCTGTCCGTTGAAAGTGCAGGTGTATGGGAGATAGATGGACCTCCAATACCCGGCAACAAAGCCAGGGGACCGAGCTCAGCAGAAGAAGAAGAGCCGCAGCCAAGACGAGCCCTGGTCGTGTCTGCTTGGCGGGGCTCGCTGCCACCACCACTTCGCCGGGGTCGGCGTCTGTACACTCTGATGCTGTACCTGGAGTCGACACTTCCCCACCGCCGTTGGACTTTTCCGGAGCGTCTGCGTCTGCAACCGCCTGCTCTGAAGGCTGGACAGCGTCTGCTGGCCTGCAAAGGGCTTGCACCTCTATGTAGGGGTTGGGTTTACACATCCAAAGAAACCTGTGCCTCGGACTGGTCTCCGTCTTTCCCGGGATGGAACCCAGAACTTTGGACGGGTCCGGCGACTGATTCCGATGCCGTGAGCCTGGGCTTGAGAGTCTTGAAAACTGTCGACTTTAACACTCTGCGGCTTTTGCTGAGCGGACGGGTTGCCGGATGAAGACTTTGGACTCTGCGGCCCGCAGCTCGTCTCCATGGCGGTCGATGGACTTTTGGAAGATTGACAGCTCGGTGCTGGTGCTGTGCTACTGCAGTGCCTGGTGCTACGTCGGGCCGGGGTCACCGAATTTGGCAACAGCTGTGGTAGCTTCAGCTCCCATCCATGTTGCTCCGTCTTTGAAGCCATCTCGCACATCGACCGGACAAGTCCCGCAACAGCAGGCTTGATCAGCCACGTCGCCCGCTCTTCGAGTGCAAGGAACTCTGTGTTTTCCATCTTTGCAACGAGTCTGTGCAGAGATGCCACGAGCTTCTCTCAACTATTTGGCCTTCACTTTCAACTCCATCGAACCTCAGAGCATCGCTTCTCCTGTCCTTCTGTCTGCGATCAGTCTGGCCTTCTGCATATCTTCGTTGGTCCTTCTGTCTGCGATCAGCATGGCTGCATAGCACGTCCGCGCGTCTCTCAGTGCAAGGTCAATGTTCCTCACGGCTGGAGGAGCAGGTCTTCGCCTCTGCCTTGTCCCGTGTTACTTGCCAGCTTCTCCCTGCCCTGCACAAGTTGCTGCCGTTCCCTCCAATCGGAATCAATCCGGTTGTCGCGAGTTGTTCCTCAGGCGATGGTTAGGACTCCATCGGAGAAACGGATGCAGTCCGCTGTGTACACCCGATACCGACACGAAAAACACCGTCGGGGAGCCAATGCTCTAAGAGGGCAACAGACGCTCGAAAACTGTGGCTCACATCAAAACACAAGCCCAGTGTCCCTTTCGCGGCACGGCGCTGCACGCCGTCTCCATCTTCAACCAGCGCCAGACTCTCAGTCGCCACGGACGCCTATGCCGGTGATTTTGACATGCCTCGCCTACTTGAGAATTCACCCTGACCAAAATGGGGCCCAAACCAACCTGAACCTGTGCGGCGACTGTTTCCCTGAAGTGTGGCAGCCCTCCGTGGCAACACTACGACACCCCTGCGAAATGAACCTTTCGGAATCTTTCTGACATAGTTGCAAAGAGCTTGTACCAAGCTTGGCGGCAGGAGTCGGGATCAGCATTCTCGACTCAATTGCACATGTGTTTGGGGGGAGCAAACAGCAGTACAAGCATCCCCCCAGCGCATAAGCCCCGCCATTCAGCGGCGTACATCAGAAACTATCATCCACATCCCTAGGCAGTTCTGTCCCGAACCCTCGACACACCCTTCATGGCCTCTGCAGTGCTGGAAGCCCGGCCATGAGAAGCAACCGTTGCACCAACTGCTGCACCCACACCAATCCTCAACAAAGGCTAGCTGCCGCTGTCCGACTGTATGTTACTTTGGGGCCTCTCCATTCCAAGAAGTGACAGAGCATGGAGTTACATGGAGTTACCTCATACCTCAGACCCCACATATGCAAACCTTCGGTCCCAGGCATAAGCACCTCCTCTGCCCACGCCGAGAGGCCAACCGCCAGACACTGCAAAGGCCACTTTCTTGCAAATATCGACGGCAGCACCGCCCGCAGCAGCGCCGGCATCTTCTGTGGCTTTGGCCAGTTCTGTTAACAAATCATCTCGGTCAAAAGCGGTGGAAGGATCTGAGTGAAGCCTACTTGCATAAGCTTGCAGATGGTGTTTGGCCTTGTTCAGAAGACCTGCTTTCACAGCAGCGTTTGGCGTTCCCTTGACAGCGAGTGCAGCAGACTTTCCATCCTCCACTGCAGCATTCTCTGCTTCTTGATCTAGCAGCTGCTCAATCTCCCAAGCTCTGTCTGCAACCGACTCCATAGCATTGACAATCTCGTCCAAGGGATTGTGCGCCAAGCCCCGGAACCTCAGGCGTCACAAAGCCAAAAAAACAAACCAACAACAAGAGTCCGAGCTCGCGTGAGCTCAAATCGTTGACTCGACCCCGAACTTCAGACGAGCTGTGCAGAGTTTTAGAGCTGTTCTCTGACATGTGGCCCACGCTCGAACTTGTGGATGGCGAGGATGCACGGCTTTGCAGACAGGCACACACCCAGCACCAGCCACAGTGCCCTCATGCCCGCATTTACATCGACTCCCACCACCAGCTGAGAGACAATGTTAAGGAGGTTGTAAGAGTTCCGTCCCGAAGCTGCGAAAGCGCCATTTATGATGAGCAGGCTTAGGATGCCTAGGATGATCAGGCTGATGAGAATGTCGGCGAGGACCGCCTGCCGACTCTTCCTCATCGCGGTTTTGCCCCAGCTGCGCACCTAGCGCATGGTAGTCAAGTATGGTCGCCAGATCAAGCATGAAGTCCGCAATTGTGCAGAAAGGCGCAAAGCACAAGGTCTTTCCAACAGAAAAGGCATGCGCTCTGTATGAACACCCAGCAAGCAAGCATACCAACAGCCGCCAACACAAACTCTACCTGTTCCACACGGCGCCGGCCTCCTTCCAAAGCTTCTGCTCGATTTCTCTCTGCCTAGCAAAAAACACGATGCACACACGCCCGGAGCACTCTGAGCCCAGCGCAAGCTTGAGAGGCCTAACGTTCTTGGCTGATTCATCCTTCTGCACATGCAGCTTGCGCTCCTGGTCACAAGAGACGAATAGGAGAAGAGCATCAGACGACTGCGGACCACAAGTAAATGTAGACCTTGTGCTGTCACTTTGAACCGTGCTTGCGCAGACAGTTCAGGCAGAGCTCCTGGAGCTGCTGGTGCGCGGCAAACTGGAGGACCAATGACGTCGCAGACAACGCAGCGGCCACGCCGAACTCCAAGCCCGAAGTGACCAGCGACCAACCAGCGGAAGCAAGAACCGAACACATTGCCAGGCCAGACAGAGATGGAAAAAGCAGTGACAGAAGGTTTGCAATCAGGAGTGGTCCCAGCTGCCATCTGGCATCTGAGCTCTTCTGGAATAGCTTGAACTGGCTTTTGGAGACCTGAAGGCATTGAGAATATAGGCTGCAACTGCTTGAGCTCCAGGAAGCGAAGGAACAATCCCAGCGTGCATCGCACCGTGCTCTGCAGTCTGCTTCCGAGGGCTTCCCATGCTTTGGATCCTGCAGCAAAAGGGACTCGCTGGAGCAGTCGCGGCTTGAGTGCATCTCCCACTGCGAGGGAATCATGGAAGACCTCGCTCCTGGCAGCACAGCGATGGCAAGGGAGCACAGAACCAAGAGGCCAACCAGCACCCTGAGCCACAAATCCACGTGGACTTCACGTCGACGCCACTCCGGCATATCCCCAAAGCTGACACGAAGAGCACCAAACTTCCAGCTGCAAAGGAAGAAAACCAGAATCGCGGTGGAGCATCCGGCACTTCGGATCAGCACCTGGTCTTCAGCACCGAAGTTCCACAGAACACTCACCTCTGCCAGTGCTGCATGGACCAAGTCCCCCCACTGCGGACCTGTTCCAACCATTTTTTGAGCTTCCTTTCTGTCTGCCTGTTCTTTTGCTTCCTTTTCAGCCCGCTCTCTAATTGACTTCTGGTGTGCAAGCTCCATGGACCTGGAAAACTGCTCGGCATTGTCCATCGCCGTCTGAAGGATCTTCAATCCGTACATGCTTACCTGGTTTCCAAGCTCAAGGCAGATCGGAAAGTTCGGCAGACTGCAAGGACACAGGAGCAAAACTCTTCTAATTCCGCCAAGCCTGCCGTCGAATCCTTGTATCCCAACAGGGTCACGCTTCCACGAGTAAATGGAAAGATTGTGCTGGGTGGCACATCAAGGGCTTTGGACACCTTTGCCACCCGTTCCGTCTCGCAGGCAAGTGTGTTGTTTTTCTCACACGCCGTCTGCAACCAGGTTAAGACCACCATGGTCGAGTAGCCAAGCTCTGAAATCTTGGCCACGTACTTCTTCGCCAGGGACTTCTCGGGCTCCCTGACGGAATGCTCGTATCTCATGAAGAACAAGACACCATGCATGCGATGAGCTTCCGAAAACATCTGGTGACCGCCCATCTCATTGAAGATGCCTTTCTGCGCATCATATTCCTTAAGATGAAAGCCATCCGGGACTTTGCCATCAGTCAAGTTTTGGAGAAATGCTTCTGAAAAATCTCGGAATTGGCACGTCTCGCCCTCACAGATACCCCAGGTGTCCCAAAAGTTGACACCAATCGACGAGTCATCCAGAAGGGAAGAGAGGTCATACTTCGTTATGGCTTTTGTGTTGTGGCCACGTCCCTGACCAATGTCACGGGGCAACCTCTGATCGTTGCTGACCGAGAGAGCAGATGACAGGCTGGTGATGTAAGTGGTCTTGCCAGCACCTGGAAATCCTATTGCCAAGAAGTTGTAGCGGCGCTTGCCTGTCCAGAACACGGGGCGGTAGGCGTGGTACGGAAAATCGACAATAGCAGAACCCCAGGGGTGCTCATTTCCGTGTGGATCCAAGATCATGACTTCCAACTTTGCTGGCAAGTTTGCAATTTTATTGCTGCTCGTCTTCCTTGGAAGCGAAACGAAAGAGTTTTAGCATAAGAGATAGAACGCTTCAGCAGCATCAACAACTGCCGTATTCCTTCTGAAAATCAAGTCCCTTAAACATCTTCAAGGAGCGGCTTCAACTCCACATTGACTATGGCACTTCCAGGACAAGTGATCTCGCTGCTGAGTTGTGTGGCCTCGCTCCATCTCGCACCCAGCACGCAGGAAATCGTAATTCTGCTTGCCGGGAAAGAGCACTCTACCAACCTCTAGCATTCAAATGCTTGAAAAAGTTGCCCACCAGAACCAAGCTTCAACTCGTGCGAAGTGGCGGCGCTCAACACCATAGTCTCCAACCACCACTGTGGCTTTTTCGGGGATTGCCACACCGCAACCCTGCGGCAGTGATTTGCAAGCAAGAATCCATGCATTGCAAGTATGCAATTTAGACTCCACCGGCTGTGAAACTTTGAAACAAAACAAAAGAATCCGCACCCTCATTTTTTTTCGCACGATTGCCACGGATTCCTGGCAAATGTTGTAGATCTCAATCTCCAAGCGCAGCGGTTCTGCGACAGTCCGTCCCGAAGATAGCAAGCGAACTATGAGGTCACCAGGGCATGCCGCTGCAGTGAACCAACCTGAATGCTGCATTCACATTCAACACTTCGACGAACAGCATGTCCTGAATGCAACCTGCCTTCTTTGTACTTCACAATCTCGGTCTTCAGAGCATCCGCTTCCTCAGAACCGCTGTGGTAGCCACGACAAAGGCTCGCAAGGAACAACGCGACAAAGCCGACATGGCCGACAGCTGTCATCGTCCTACGACCTGGGCCGGCTCTACCTATGTCGTGACTTGACTAGAGCAAATCCAAAACCT